TGGTTCGGTGGTTGTAACTTCTACAAATAAGGTAGAAAGAACAGCTCTAGAGTACAGAGGAATTGGTTGGCACTGTTATAGCACTAAAGCAAGCGCAACTTCAACCAAATGATCACGCCATCTGGACGTCTAATCGGCACCTGTTACGACGAGTACCCCGTGATATTCGACAGTCTATTGAATGCACAAGCGAATTTGATTTAGTGCATAGGCCTGGAGTGCGTAGAACCATACAAGAGCGGGTCCACCCGGGTGGCCAGATGACGGGCCGTAGTTGGGAGATTCTAATGATTGGCAGACACAGTAGAATCAACATTGACGGAAAACTTACCGTTAGGAGTCAGTTTTACCCCGTCCCACAGCGGCGTAATAAAATCTTAAACTAATGAATTTTTAAAGTAATCAAGATGAGTATAACAGACACAGGTGACTGCATTTAGTGTCCAATTATTCTATTAGGAGGAAACAAGCAGATATTACACCAGAGCCTAGGCAATACTATCTGCCTACTTCCAGCTGTCATGGCTCTCAGGGCCTCCGTTGAGGTCCATGGCAAGGCGGGACAGATTAGTTCCGTTAGCGGTCACCAAGGAGTAGTGAGGCACTGTTATAAGTACACTATCCACTTGAGTCCAAAACGTCATTTTGTCTACAATAACTCTTAATTTCTACTGAACATTCCGAGTGCAAATGTAGTGAATGCGTTTCTGGCAAATGCTCTACTGTCTTCTAACATTCCTGTTTCATAATTAGTCTTGTGCATGTTGAACCCCCAAATACCTTCAAAAATTGCAAATTAACTGCTTTTAGTTCAGACCTGTACTGTTTAAATTGGGTATTCAAGGGCTTCTGCCATGAACTTCAACTACATCGAATAATTGGTAGGGTCTACTGTTTGCATAGATGGGTGGATAAGATGCTGCGGCAGTCATAGCATCTAATTTTGACCAGGATAATTTGGATTACATTTAGCCGCGCGTATGGGCTTTTCGAGAACATCCGAATTTCTTTTGCGGTTGCCATATGTAGTGGCAAGAGTGACGGTAGAGGTTTAACTGAATTAAACGCTCAACGATACCTGTGGAAGTAGATGTAAAGGTTCCTTTACAAACGAATTTATAAACTCGCTCTATGCCGCAAAGCCAGGCTAAGCAGTTACTGTTGACTTTGATCGGCAGTCGCCCCTAAACATGCCCTCCTTTCAGCAGCAAAGTAACCCGGTACACGCTATGTATCAGTGTTTTAACCTCAGCTTTACTTTTGGTTAAAAAGACAAATCCATTCAGGATAGGGGGATATTCTACGCGCGAGGTTCCCGCTTAAAACACATTATGATTTTAAAATGTATACTCCAAAGGTTCCCGTCGGCTTGCTGGTACTTTTCATTGTGTAAAGAAGGCAAAGGAGCGCTCATTGGGACTACACTTTTATCAGTCTGAGCTTTCAGTCCCGTAGAGGAGGCCACTATCAGATAAAAGGAAAGTACAGGAAGAATTGGCATGGCTCGTAGTCCACCTGCTTGACGTCCTGTCGTGCATCTTTGGCGCCGTGGCATGCCTTCTTGGACATGAAGTAGGCCATGCTTCCTGGGCGCGTAGACGGAGGGCGAATCAACAGGACGGTATGTCCACGTGCTTGTTGATGGCGTTGGAGTCTGAGGCCCATGCCTTCGGTAGTTCTCGCCTTGTCTTACTTCCGGCTCGTGTAATTATCTACGTGCCCGTGAATTCGTGGCCTTTCTCCAGGGTGTGGGTGGCGATCTGGGACAGCGGGTCGCTTTTTCGCATTGCTCGTATGTGCTCCGTCATTAGTTAGCTAAGTCGTTGTCCAGTCTGCCCTGTATAATGGCAAGAACAGTTGTGACATGACATTTGCTAAAGGACACCAGACTGATCACG